GTGTGTGTGTGCGCACGTGCAGCGCCTGCATATATGTGTACATATATGAGGTGTATGAATGTATTTAGGCAGGCACATCTGCACGTTAATGTCATCAAACTTGTGACCTTCCAGATTCCTCTTCTGCAGTAGGGTATGCTTTCCTTGAGGTCTAGGAACTGTTTTGGAGAGAAGACTGTCAGCCAGGGTAACAGTCTTCTGTTACCCATCTTTAAGCCAATAAATAAAGATGAATGCCTAACTAGAGAACTCACCAATTAACCACCCTGCAAATTTTCTCAGTTCCCTGGATATAATTTTCCTGGGTCTGCAGATACCCTCACCTAAAGCAGGTTGGACATTTCTTACTGACTCTCACTCACCCATCTTATTCTTCAGTTGCTTCTCTCCAGTGTTTGCTTTACTCTTCCCAGCTTGAAGGAGACAGCAGCAAAGACCTCAAAGTCCATTTTGTCCTGTGCCATGTGTCACCATCTGCCCCTTTCTTGTTCCTCATCTTGCTCCAAACATAGATTTTCTTTAAAAGCCTTTTTGATGTCCTAAGCATTTTTCATGGTCACTTTTGCCCTTACTGACACTTTTTTAAAAAAAAATTCAAAGCACTCTTTCAGACTCATTCTACATTTGTGGCCCTTTCCTGACTCTTGAACATGTGCTATTAAAATTAGAATTAAATTCTTATTACATCAAAAAGGACCCATGTAATTTCATTAAATATGTTCTCCCTTTTCTCCCTTTTTTTTTTTTTTTTTTTTTTTTTTTTTTGGAGACAGAGTCTTGCTCTGTTGCCTGGGCTGGAGTGCAGTGGTACAATCTCGGCTCACTCCAACCTCCACCTCCCAGGTTCAAGTGATTCTCCTGCCTCAGCCCCCTGACTGAATGGGACTACAGGCGCCTGCCACCATAACTGGTTAATTTTTGTATTTTTCGTAGAGACGGGGTTTCACCATGTTGGCCAGGCTGGTCTCAAACTCCTGACTTCAGATGATCCGCCTGCCTCGGCCTCCCAAAGTGCTGGAATTACAGGTGTGAGCCACTGCACCCAATGCCCTTTTCTTACTTTTTAAGATCAATGATATTACTTTCAATGGCAAAAACTGCAATTACTTTTGTAGCAGCCTAATAAGGACTACCATTTTTTTTATCATCTACATGCTGTCTGAACATTACACGCACTCTCACTAATTCTTATAAGAAGTGGTATTCCTAATGAGATACCATCTCACACCAGTTAGAATGGCAATCACTAAAAAGTCAGGAAACAACAGGTGCTGGAGAGGATGTGGAGAAATAGGAACACTTTTACACTGTTGGTGGGGTTGTAAACTAGTTCAACCATTATGGAAAACAGTATGGCGATTCCTCAAGGATCTAGAACTAGAAGTACCATATGACCCAGCCATCCCATTACTGGGTATATACCCAAAGGTTTAAAAATCATGCTGCTATAAAGACACATGCACACATATGTTTATTGCGGCACTATCCACAATAGCAAAGACTTGGAATCAACCCAAATGTCCATCAGTGACAGACTGGATTAAGAAAATGTGGCACATATACACCATGGAATACTATGCAGCCATAAAAAAGGATGAGTTTGTGTCCTTTGTAGGGACATGGATGCAGCTGGAAACCATCATTCTCAGCAAACTATCACAAGAACAGAAAACCAAACACCTCATGTCCTCACTCATAGGTGGGAACTGAACAATGAGATCACTCGGACTCGGGAAGGGGAACATTACACACCAGGGCCTATCATGGGGAGGGGGGAGAGGGGAGAGATTGCATTGGGAGTTATACCTGAAGTAAATGACGAGTTGATGGGTGCTGACAAGTTGATGGGTGCAGCACACCAACATGGCACAAGTATACATATGTAACAAACCTGCACGTTATGCACATGTACCCTAGAACTTAAAGTATAATAAAAAAAAAAAAGAACCATAAAAAAAAAAAGAAGTTGTATTCCTACGTTATTCCTACTACAGAAGAGAAAGCTGGAAGGCCACAGAGCTCGGGTTTAAGATGAAAAGAGATGCCAAAGCCCATGGTCAGCATTACACCATGTTCCCTCTCGCAATTACATTGCCAGGGTTTCAAGTTTCTATCATTTTTCTTTCCTCTTGAGACACACGTTATTGTTCAGTCTCTGACTTATCTCACGTGGATCCCTTCCTCGGGCCTGAAGTCAGCTTTCCTAAGCTTTTCCTAAGGTGGACGTCTGGCAATGCCCTGTCTTGGCCTTTATGAATTTCACAAGACACGGGCACCTTCCCCCAGGTTCTCTCTGCTCTCATTTGTTATTTGTCCTCAAAATAACATATCTTCTCATCGTCCTCTCTGCTTTGTGGGAAGTGGAAATTATAGCAAACTAAACCAGGAATCAAGTAATTTAACATCACAACCACGGTGACCAATTTTGTGTTAGGACCATAGACTGAAATTTGCCTGGCAGGGAAAGTCCTGACAGCCCTGGGCAAGGTTTTCAGGGGTCATTTACTCTTTCTCCCTGGAGGACACTTGAAGCAGAGGCTGAGGATTGTCTACCCGAGGGCTTCCTGCCCTCCTTCCCTATGTCTCCACCTTCACACATACTCCATGCAGCAGCCCTGACTCCAGTCCCCAGTGACTGTTCCTGGGCTAGAGGTGGAGGCATGACCCAAGGTGCCTGATCAGGCTGAAGTGGAGGCTTTCTATACTGTGATTGCTGGGAAGTCTCTCAGACTCACACTCTAACTATCCCCCCTCGACCTCCACTTCTGCATAGAAATACGGAGGCAGGTAGCCACACATATCGCCAGCTCCCATCTTGTCATCTGGTGACCATAGGCTATAGAGTGGAACATCTGAAAAGAAACCCAGGCCTTTTCGGCATAATTCATCTTCAACCCTGGGGACTACTCTCACTCCGACCTCCAGTGTTTAAGAAGTAAATTCCCTATTGTTCAAGCCAATGTGAGTTGGGGATTTTTTGTGACTTACAGTTCCGAAGTTCCTAGGCCTCAAGGAAAGCATACCCTACTCTTAGGATGAAATACTTGCACCTCTTCTTGGAGAGTATAACCTACAGTTCAGGGAGAAAACATGCTAATTGTGGTGATTAATGCTGGTGCTTCTTAAACTTTTCCACCAGGATACCACCAGTCAGAAGAGAGTGGTTAGAGATGACGGTACCCTGGAGCCAGAACCAGAGGCAGCTCACTACAAGCACAAATTTTCCTTGAAGTTTCGTATTTTAATGTAAAAAAGTCATGAATAAATTATAGTCTACTCCATGGTCGTTAATGGAAAAGGACGAATTTTTCCAAACATTTGTGGAAACTTGGTCCTCCAAGAAGCGGTTTTGCAAACCCTTCTAGCATACTGTCACATACCCAGGGGTCCTGGCACCTCAGCTAGAGAATCACAAACCAGACGGAAGTCAAAACCAGGGTTGAGCCCACCAGGCCAAAACTGTTGGAGCTTTATCCTTACTTCACGCCACAGCTGCAGGAACAGGAAGGCAGCACAACCACTCTGTTTCCAACCATTAGAATTCACAGTATGCTTTATATTTCGACACAGTGTTTTCAAATATACTACTTTACTTTATTTTCACTATAAAATCTGTGATACATGTAATTCTTTTCCCATTTTTCAGGGAAAAAACCTGAAGACCTGTCCAACTGTCTTATTTAAGATCACAGAACGTAGAGCCAAGTCTCAAATTTGGAATTCCTTACTTTAGAATCTATGCTTTTTCTACTAGATGATGCTGCCTGTCAATATTTTTGAGCTGTGAGTAGGCAATATTCCCAACTGAGGAAACTGGGACCCCAGGAAATGTATCATAATTTGCTCAAGAGTTCAAGGTTGTTAAATAGTGAGCTCAACTTTCAAACCCAGGTCTACCTCATTTAAAGCCCTATGCTGAATCCACTGCACTTAGGGGTCCAGTCTCATCAAAATAAGGCAAGTGGGTATTGCATGCCAGCCACCATTTTAACTCTTTGTTTATCACTAACTATGTGAATTATTATGATCATCATCCCCATTTTACAAAAGGGAAACAGAGATGCAATGCAACTGAATAATGTGCCCAAGGTGATGTGACTAGTAAGTAGCAGTGACAAGATTTAAACTCAGGTATTCTGGCTCCAACGTCAGTGTTCTCAGCCACTACATTTGTTGCCTCTATGGCAGAGAAGGCAGAACACGTATGTCCTGACAACCAGCTCAAGGCAGGCATTGGATAAAAATGCCTGTTCTCCAGCACTTAGAACAGGTGGATGGGTGGATGGGTAGATGGATGGGTAAATAGGTAGATGGTGGAGGTGGGGATGAGTGGGAGGATTGGTGGATAGGTAAATGGACAAATGGACAGGTGGGTGGATGGATGAGTGGGTGGAAGGGTGGATGGGTGGGTAGGTGAGTAGATGGATGGATGGGAAAATGGATGGATGGATTTGTAGATGGATAGACATATAAATGAATGGATGGGTAGATGAGTAGATAGATGGGTAGATGGGTGGACAGATGTGAAGATGAATGAGTGGATGGATGAGTGAATGGAAAGCTAAAATAGATAAGGCACATAGAAAGAGACAAGGGAACAAGCTGCATAGAGCCTTGGTGTTTTAAGTGAAATGCCATATATAGAATCAACTGGGACTTGTATCTGGTATATAATACACACGTAGTCAGTCAACAAATACTGGCTAAACATACAAACCCACAAAACAATAATCCTATAAAATAAGTATTAATAAGCCCACTTTCTAAGGTGCAGAAACTGAGGCTCATTCAAGCTAAATAACATGCTCAAAATCACACAGCTAATAAGTTATTAGAACCTGAGTTCAAATATGAATCTGTCTGACAGCAAAGCCCCATGCTGTGCTATCTCCCACTGGTAGACAGTATCAGATGGTAACCCTGAAGCTGCCTTGGCTCTCTGATGGTCTCATTGTACACCGGCCTCTCAATAGCATTCCATGTGTATATGTGTGAGAGTGGAGGCAATGTGGGCAAGGTGGGAGAGAGTTTGTCTTTTACTGAGATTTCACCTGCCTTACAGTTTTAAAAAACCATCCATTTAAGGATTAGTTCCCTTTTGCCCCATCAAATCATTGCAGAAACAAAGATTATTCTTGCAATCATAAGCTTTCATTGTTGAAGGTTTTGAATTAATAAGATAAAATTGTCTGATCCATGCTTTTTAGAGAGCTCTTTACAGCTGCATTCTTAACCTCAGCATTAGTCACCAGGAGCATCACTGAAGCTCACCTGTCATTCTTCTGTGACACGACAAGCTCCCACATGTTGAAAGTGCCATCCCCCAATGGGAAACAATCTTCTTCCTTCCAGAGATACAGCAAAACTCTTCCCAGAATACTTCCTGCCAACACATGTCTTCTCCGTAAGTTGAGAGTCCTGCAATCCTGTAGGGGAAATCAGAGAACCAGGTGTGGGCTGCAAAGGAATCATGGGACTTTAAGTGCCAAAAAAGACCTGGGAGATCATTGAATCCCCTTCACATTATGAGGGGAGACAGAAGCAGATCAGGAGAAAAACATCATCCTCAAGGCCTCAGCCTCAGGTGAGAACTTTGCATGGTCTCCAGGTAATGGCCGGCTGACACCCTCTGTGAGAGGGGGCTGCACTTCTTCTTCCTGCCTGGAGGCTTCAGGGGGACCTGGGAATTCCACATTTTCAGGAGCATCCTTTCAGCACCGCTGTCCCAGATCTTAGCAGAGGAAACTTGTCAAAGTAAAGGAGTCAACATTCTTGGCAGTCCTGCCATGTTATGATTAAATCTGGGGACTGATTTTCTCCACAGTTTTCCCTCTAGCTGCAGATGAGGGTCTCCTGAAATGCTGCCACGAAAACCCTCAGGCCAGCACAGCACACCCTGAGTTGATGCTTGGACGACCTGCACCTCTCGTTCTGTTTCTTCAAGGTGTGGATCCCAATTTACTTCCCTGGTAGTTAGCATCACCCCATTCCCTTTTGTGTGTGTGTGTGTGTGAGACACAGAGTCTCGCTTTGCCACCGAGGCTGGAGTGCAGTGGCGCACAATCTTGGCTCACTGCAACCTCCACCTCCCAGGTTCAAGTGATACTCCTGCCTCAGCCTCCCAAGTAGCTGGGATTACAGGTGGGCATCACCATGCCCGGCTAAGTTTTGTGTTTTTAGTAGAGATGGGGTTTCACCATGTTGGTCAGGCTGATCTCAAACTCCTGACCTCAAGTGATCTGCCTGCCTTGGCCTCCTAAAGTGCTGGGATTACAGGCATGAGCCACCGTGCTCACTCCTTTCAATTGCTAGAGTTATTGCATAAATCAGTGCCCTCACTTTCACCTAGACCTCATCCAAATCTGCCCCAGTTGAGAGTCTTGGTTATTGTAGTGTTGCCACAGGTCAGGGCTGACAACCAGCCCGCTGATTTCCAGTGACAGGATTCTTATATTCACATAACCGTGAAGCAATCCAATTTCAGAATCCTATCTTGAAGGCCTGCTTCATAGGGTCACTTCCAAGATAAATTGTGTTAATCTGATTCCCCAGAAAGTAGACTCTGATTCAAAGAATTTTTCACAGAGAGTTTACTTTGGGCGGTGATGCCAAGAAACAAAACGTGATTCATGGAATAAAATTCAAGTTATTAATCTACCATAGACAACTGGAGCTCAAACCCAATGGGAATCATCTAGGAACCATGTAGAATTGCTCTATCACAGGATGGAGAGGTCGGTTATTTATCCACTAACTCCCACCCACCGTTGCCTGAGCATTCCCCGGAGGCATTGACTTCATTATACTTTGGGTCATATGTGTGCATGGTTGAGCACCCTTGAGTAGCCTCTGAGAAAGCTGATGAGCAAAGAGTGGCTGTGTTGTTTGCAGTTTGTGTAATACTGGCAGCGGGGCATGGAGCTGTCCACGTAGCAGTGCTGAAATCAGGTCCAGGGGCCATGGTACAGAGCATCACAAGCATCAGTTACCACACCTAGGAAGACACGTGAGTACCAGAGAGTGTGAGACAAACCCCAGAAAGCTCAGAGGCCTGCCATGTGGTTGCACTTTCTTGCAGCACTGTCCGATAGAACTTTCTGCACTGATAGAAATGTCCTGTGGATGGGCTATCCCACACAGTAGCCTCTGGCCACACATGAGTCTTGAGCATCTCTAAGATGTGGTTGGTGTGATTAGGGAACTAAATTTTTATTTTATTTGTATTTTAATATTCCTATGTGGTGAATGATTACTATACCAAACAATATAGTTCTAGAGTACCAATAACCTGAAGCATGTCAGGATATCCCTCTTAGGATAAGAGAAAAGTAACTACACCTTGCACTGCTCATGTAAAGAGACAGCCATGGTGTTTGGTGAACTTCTTGGCATTTGGTAGCAACATATTCACCTTGAGAAATTCTATTCCTATCTATGTAAGGAGTAACACGTAAGAAGGCTTCCAGTTTTAGGGCCTAGAGCAATAAAAGTCACTACAGTAGATTCCAGCTGCAGTCCAAGCTGCCTCACTATTGACACTTATGACCTCGCAGAACCAATTATAGTGGATGTGTCTGCAGCAGAAAGAGATGATAGAGGGGCCTCTGGCCACCCCTAGTAGTAGAATCCTGAGGTCCTGGAGAAAGGCTGTGTGTCCTTTGGCAACAACTATTCTCCATTGGAAAAGGCACTCATGACCTGTTTTATCTGAGCACCTAATAATGGGAGGTCAGATGACTGAGCATCTCAAACTGCTACTTCTACATATACCATGGAGAGTCAACGGCAGAACTGCATGAACTAGATATTTTCCCGTCCACCAAACCATAAAGTTGTACATGCACAGCAGCACTTGGATAAAAGAATGCTTCACCCATCACCATAATACCCAACACACTATGGCCACAGTCCATACTACACGTGATGTGGCAATGAGAGGGCTGCTGAGTCTTGTACTCATGAAATGTACTGATCTTCTGACCACCTAGCACCCAGCAGCAGCTAGTGATGTAAGAAGGCCTAAGGAGGGCCTGTTGTGGGTCAGCTAGAAGCTACACCCTGCAAGGCTGGTGCTTCCTGCTGGATTCAGTCTGTGCTTTGCCTGTGACCAATAAGAGATGCCTTCTCCCCCATAATCAGAAGTTTGTGAACAAATGAGTAGAACTGGGAGGACCCCCTCACCGTAATACCAAATAATCCATGGGGATAATTTGTGCTTTCAGACACCACTCTCACCTCTAAGCTTAGGCTGAGAGTACAAGGTGCTCAAGAGAGGAATGCTGCCAGCAGAGAACATCCTCATGGATGGGATGAGCTGAAATATGAGATAGTCCCCTGGTCATCTGGGGAGCTTAATGCTATTGAGCCAACAAGAAGAGAAAGAGATCACAGAACTGGTCAGGATGGTTGATCCCAATTATCTAAAGGAACCTGGATTGCTGCTACACAACTGGGCAGGGAAGACCAGATGTGGATCCTTCAGAGCTCACAGGGGTGCTCTCAGTTCTCCCTTTTCCAGCAGCTCTTGTAAATGGCAACATGCATCACCTGATAGAGACAAGACTGCCAATGATTAAATTCTATAGGAATCAAACTTCGGGTCACCCCATTATATGAAAAACCGTGTCCATCTGAAGTGTTAGTGGAGATTAAGGAGAATGTGAACCAGGTGGTAGGAGAAGCCAGCCACAATTATTAACATCAGCCTTTTTTTTTTTTTTTTTTTTAAACAGTAGCTCTATCCCCCAGGCTGGAGTGCAGTGGCACCATCTCAGCTCATTGCAACCTCCGCCTCCCGGGTTCAAGTGATTCTCCTGCCTCAGCCTCCCAAGTAGCTGGGATTACAGGTGCCCACCACCACACCTGGCTAATTTTTGTATTTTTAGTAGGGATGGGGTTTTGCCATGTTAGCCAGGCTGGTCTTAAACTCCTGACCTCAGGTGATCCATCCGCCTCAGCCTCCCAAAGTGCTGGGATTACAGGTTTAAGCCACTGCGCTCGGCCAACATCAGCCTTTTAACCAGCTACAGAAAGGAAGCTTTGGAAGCTATATTTTAGATAAATTAATCTTTCCTTCCCCTGGCCTTTTCTAATGCAACATTCCATGAAAACTCTGGTGGCAGCACATGTAGATATTAGGTGGGAATTATGGAATGTGACACTCCGTGAGAGCATGGCAGCGGTTCACATTGGTGTGTCCTCATGTCCATATTAGGGACATGAGGTTTTCACCTGGATAAAAATGAGAGTGAGGCCTGGCGCACGCCTGTAATCCCAGCACTTTGGGAGGCTGAAGCAGGTGGATCTTGAGGTCAGGAGAACAAGACCATCCTGGCTGATATGGTGAAACCTCATCTCTATTAAAAATACAAAAAAAAAAAAATTAGCCAGGCATGGTGGAGGTGCCTGTAGTCCCAGGTACTCGGGAGGCTGAGGCAGGAGAATCACTTGAACCCAGGAGGCAGAGGCTGCAGTCAGCTGAGATCATGACACTGCACTCCAGCCTGGGCGACAGGGCAAGACCCCATTTAAAAAAAAAAAAAAAAAAAGAGTGGATGCTATACGGCAAAATGGGTGAACAGCTTCTCTTTGCCCCTCCACATTCACTCCCCACTGACCTCCATATGCCTATGCCCCAGGATGCTGACCTTTGTAGAAAGTCCCCTGATTGCAGTTTTGATGTGGCCAGTGGGCATCACTGTCAGATTGGAGAGAACAGGGAGAGGGATTGGGGGTATTTATTTTCTCAGCTTCCCCTCTCCTGGGTCACCATGGACTTGCCATATCTCTCTATCAAAGACCACAGCCTTTGTCAGCATCCCTCTACACACAGCTATGTTCTCTGGATTCAGCTGCCCAATCTCCTTGAAGGTCCAGGAGTAGTAATGGGCCCATGGCTGCTAACCCCAGGATCCTACTGCTCCCTTCCAGGCTTCCTAAAACCTGCCTGGGCCTCCTACACATAGTCTCTTTGCTAAATTCCCCTCCATTTCCCAGTATGAATTTGCCCTCTGTTTCCTGCCAGTATCTGACCAATATATCTCTATAATTTATGTTTCTATCTAATTCATTTACAAACTTCACAATCTTATAATAAAATATTTGTTCTATATCTTACAATTGAGAGACTCACTTAGTGGTTGAAAAACATCTTACTGTCTAATGAAGTTGACCACTGTGCCAGGCACTGGGCCAGCCCCTCGGGACATAAAAATGCATGGAGAAATCACTTCTCAAGAGGAGCCCACAGTCTGGTGGCAGAGAGTCACACTGATGTCAGTTACAGCAGTGCACAGGATGTGTTATGGTAGAAATGGCCCTGTGGTCCCCAGCAGCAGAGTGAAAGGGGCATCTACCCAGAGGAACGCAGGAGGGTTGTAGAGAACAGGTAAAAACTGAATAGCTTTAGAGAATGAGGGTCACAGGG